AGTTATTGTTTTGTAATCTAACAAAAAATACAAAACTTTATTGCATTTGTGGGAGAGACAGAATTCGCCATCAGAGTAAGAGTGCTGATCTAGGATCAGGTCCACTCTGGCCATATAATACTCGTATTCGTTATGATCTTATCTTTAGCAAATTATTAGTCTGGATTGTTCTCTTTGGTCAAAGTGGACCATGTACATTAAATGAAATATGATTAGTAGAACCTAATATAGGATACTTGTATCAGCTGTTATTGAGATGAACTTCATGATGATGAGCTGCTAAATGTGCTCCAGTAAAGTTGCCCTCCAGTGGCCAGCACTCCTCCAGCCAGTCAGACAGGCAAAGACACACACACACACAGTCTGAGAGCTGGGCAACTCCATTGGTGGAGTTCGTTTTCGCATGGACCGGTGTCCCGGTTAGGAGGAGATTTCACTTCAGGACTCATGGAATGGTTAAAAAAAAAAAAAAACTCTTCTCACCCGGGGCGCCGGGCCATGCAAAACGAACTCCACCATTGTTATGAACGTTCTCAAACCCGAATGTCGTGATAGATAGAGGCTAACGACTGTTTCGGTTAAATGGTCTGGAAATATGGTGACATTGCTAAAGTAGGCAGATGTTTAGTAGGAAACAACGTTGCCATCATTATCATGTCGAAAGGATGGCAATGTTGTCATTAGCTAACAAAAGTTGGTCAAAAATAGCTAGCAATCCTAACGGTAGCTAGATAAAATCCGAGTTGGTCTCCCCCCAATCTTAGCTAACATTATACTGCATCTAAAGTAAATCTGGTGACATCAAAATGATGACTAAAGGTTTCCCTACTAATTATTTGAGTCCTTTTGCAATGTCGTATTTCCAAGCCACTGTAATGCACTTCTGATTAAATCAGCGCTCATCGAATATGCCCGAGCAGTCAGTCGGACATGCTTCTCAGATAGGGGTTTACTTGTTCTTGAGAACAGCTATTGCTAGCTACCATAGTGTTCCCCGCTAGAGTACCAAATTACAGTGCATCATTCTGATATAGCTAACTAGTTGGCTGTGCTGGAAAATATATAATCATGTTAGCTAATTGTTTCAACGCAGCTTCCAACTGTGAAATTACAAGACAAAAAGGACACTTACCAAAACTGTTCCTCTGTGTCCTCTTAGTTGTAAAGGCAGGAAAAATATTAAAATTATTGGAAAAATATTCCTATGTCTAATTATTTTAGATTCTCAAAATAAAATCTAAAACAATAATGGTTGCATTCTTGTTAATCTGTTTTTAGTTTTTTATGAATAAGCTTTTCATCATATCACCCATTTGCACAAATACTTACTTGCCAGCTTGCAATACAATATTTCAACCACTAGCAGATGTGCATATACATGTTCTAAAGTTGTTCTTCTTTTTTTTAGGGGGTAGATCAGCTTTAATATTGCAGATAGATTGTAACTTCCATCAATGTAATTGTATGCATCACTTCCAATCCCCCATATGTTTTTTTTCTCTCGCATATATATATATATATACACACACACACACACACACACACATACGTATACAGTTGAAGTCAGGAAGTTAACATACCCTTAGGTTGGAGTCATTAAAACTAGTTTTTCAACAACTCCACAAATGTCTTGTTAACAAACTATAGGTTTTGGCAAGTCGGTTAGGACATCTACTTTGTGCATGACACAAGTAATTTTTCCAACAATTGTTGACAGACTGATTATTTCACTGTATCACAATTCCAGTGGGTCAGATGTTTACATACACTAAGTTGACTGTGCCTTTAAACAGCTTGGAAAATTCCAGAAAATGATGTCATGGCTTTAGAAGCTTCTGATAGGCTAATTGACATCCTTTGAGTCAATTGGAGGTGTACCTGTGGATGTATTTCAAGGCCTACCTTCAAACTCAGTGCCTCTTTGCTTGACATTATGGGAAAATCAAAAGAAATCAGCCAAGACCTCAGAAAAAAAATGGTAGACCTCCACAAGTCTGGTTCATCCTTGGGAGCAATTTCCAAACGCCTGAAGGTACCACGTTCATCTGTACAAACAATAGTACGCAAGTATAAACACCATGGGACCACGCAGCCGTCATACCGCTCAGGAAGGAGACGCGTTCTGTCTCCTAGAGATGAACGTACTTTGGTGCGAAAAGTGCAAATCAATCCCAGAACAACAGCAAAGGACCTTGTGAAGATGAATGGAGGAAACGGGTACAAAACTATCTACATCCACAGTAAAACGAGTCCTATATCGACATAACCTGAAAGGCCGCTCAGCAAGGAAGAAGCCACTGCTCCAAAACCGCCATAAAAAAACAGACTACGGTTTGCAACTGCACATGGGGACAAAGATCGTACTTTTTTGAGAAATGTCCACTGGTCTGATGAAACAAAAATAGAACTGTTTGGCCATAATGACCATCGTTATGTTTGGAGGAAAAAGGGGGACGCTTGCAAGCCAAAGAACACCATCCCAGCCGTGAAGCACGGGGGTGGCAGCATCATGCTGTGGGGGTGCTTTGCTGCAGGAGGGACTGGTGCACTTCACAAAATAGATGGCATCATGAGGAAGGAAAATTATGTGGATATATTGAAGTAACATCTCAAGACATCAGTCAGGAAGTTAAAGCTTGGTCGCAAATGGGTCTTCCGAATGGACAATGACCCCAAGCATACTTCCAAAGTTGTGGCAAAATGTCAAGGTATTGGAGTGGCCATCACAAAGCCCTGACCTCAATCCTATAGAACATTTGTGGGCAGAACTGAAAAAGCGTGTGTGAGCAAGGAGGCCTACAAACCTGACTCAGTTACACCAGCTCTGTCAGGAGGAATGGGACAAAATTCACCCAACTTATTGTGGGAAGCTTGTGGAAGGCTACCCAAAACGTTTGACCCAAGTTAAACAATTTAAAGGCAATACTACCAAATACTAATCGAGTGTATGTAAACTTCTGACCCACTGGGAATGTGATGAAAGAAATAAAAGCTGAAATATATCATTCTCGCTACTATTATTCTGACATTTCACATTCTTAAAATAAAGTGGTGATCCTAACTGACCTAAGACAGGGAAGTTTTACTAGGATTAAAATGTCAGGAATTGTGAACAACTGAGTGTAAATGTATTTGGCTAAGGTGTATGTAAACTTCCGACTTCAACTGTATACACATACATTTCATTTTTTAAAATATATTTCCCTTTATTACTTTCCAACCCCACCACCCCTTCCCTAATTGGAGTAAACTAGTGAACAACAATGCTTAGGCCTCTACTTCCATCTTATACATACTATATACATTTTATGGACACAGTCAATTTTACAATAATTATATTTTGTTTGTTTTTACTCCTGAACATCCTCTACCCTCAACCTCTTCGATCATTTTCATGATGTCCATCCAGTTTGCTTCTATATGCCATATCTTTCTAACTGTGCTCTTTCACAAAAGCTCTCAACCTATAACCTATATACTTATGGACACAGTATGCTTACATTATTTGTTATCTTGTTGTTATTAGTCTCATCCTTCAACTCCATTCAACACCACCCATCTATCTCTTAACACCATCCATATTGGATTTCTATTTGCCACATATTTTCAACTGTACTGTGATGTTTTACAAAAGTTCTGAACCTTTCTATTCTCATTGTTTCTACAGATTGTAAATTGAAAATAAACATTTTTGCTAAAAGTATTATTATATTATTGATCGATTGACTATGACTTTTCAGATCACCCAGTAATGCTATCTGCAGGGTTAGCTCCACGTAAATATTGCAATCCTTTAGCCATTCCTGGACCTGTGTCCAAAAACAAGCTACAAATGGACAGTACCAAAACAAATGATCTATTGATTCTGTCTCTTCGCAGCAAAATCTGCAGAGCTGGGAAGATTGTATCCCCCATATAAATAACATTCTATTGGTAGCAATAATTTTATATAATAATAATAATATATATATATATATATATATATATAATAATAATAATACGTTTTGAATCCGGCGTCGTTTTGCGTATCAGTTCATAAACAGTATGCCATGGGATCGGTACGTCAAAAATCTCTTCCCAACTATTTTGCAATCTATATGGGACGGCTGTCAATCCTTTGGTCCTTAAATGAAACTGGTATACTTTGTTATTTATCACAGTTTTCTTTAACCAATTATGTTCTTTAATGCAAGGCCAACAGACAAGTTCCTTACATTTTCCCCCTTCCACTTTCCTCTTCCATTTTTGCGGTAATGCTGCAATTATTTGGTTGTAATTTTGGGTAGAGCAGACATTTCCATATGTTTTTGTTAGCTGCATGTGCGACATAACTCCACCAGTCCTACCGATGATATCATTTACGAAGATAATACCTTTTTAAAACATTTTGTCAAAAAAAAAAAGTTTTTTTAAAAAAATCAATTAGTATATTTGAGTTTAACCACAATATTTGTTGCATTATTTGTTCTGTCATTTCTGGAGGATTAAATTTAAATTGCAACCAACTTTCTATGGCTTGTTTTACAAATAGTGATATTTGGGAGATTATTTCCTTTTCAAATAACTGAAAGTGTGAGGTTGTAATCTGAATAAAGGGAAAATAATCTCCCATGGTCTAAAGTTTGCTGGGAGGTGAGCACATTCTCAGGCATAGCCGCAGGAAGTAGGGGTGCCGAGGGTGCTGGAGCACCCCCTGATAAATCAAAATAATATATATATAATGTTTGTAAAACAATTTGTGAACTGGCCTTTATTATTCCTGTATGAGCAGAGAAAAATACTTGTCAGCACCCACTGTGTGTATGAAATGCTCCTTGTTCTCTTAAGTAAAGCATTTTGTCTTGTCATCACAATAGAATGAGAAAGACTGAAAACTAACACAGTATACTGTCCATACAGTATCAAAAAGGGAAACAGATACTACATTTAGCTTGTGACTTTATTCCAGTAGTGGTGAAAGCACTGTATCATCTTTTGTTTTACACCAAAGGCCTCCTGGATTAGATTGTGGTGTGGCAGAAGTCATAATCCTAAAAGAGAATGAAGTTAATGGAGATTTGACTTATTCATTGGCAATAAAGTCTTATTATATTCAATGAATAACTTACATTCACATATTTAATATGATGAATATTATTTCATCAACCAACAAAAAATTTACCAAAATCATACGCACAAGGACAATTCTCTCTTTCGTGTATGTGTGTCCCTACCACGTCAGTGTGTTGGCTCTTGCACAGCAACTGTGCTCTGTAACTCTCGTAGTGTGTGTCATGGGTCATGTCCTTCAGGTCCTGCATATGAGTCCTCACCAACATGTTCCTCAGGTGGACAAAGTCACTGTGATACGGGTTCTCCACTGACAGCACAACAAGACACAACAGTGAACTGCAATACATTTAAATGGAGTGTACAGTACACTTATCTGAAGTTCACTTATAAGGTGTGTGAGTCTGTGCATGTTCGTGTGTGTGTGTCTGTATGTGTGTGTTTGTTCTGCACCTTCCACCACGCCCCAGGGGTAGAGACGGGCGCGGATCCACCGACCATTAACATCCACCATCATGTTACTGCCGATCACTGCAAACGGAACACTCCTCTGACAAAGAGAATGAGAGACAGAAACTTCTAGAACACACATCCTCATTTAGCAACAGGGTAAATCCATTTGAATTCAGTCTCTTTTTGACAGCATCCCTTTTGATAAAAAAAACAAACATGGAAGAAGTGGTCAGAAAGGGACTTTTTGGACCTGAATGCCATAACATTTAGGAGATAAAGGTCCTCAAAGTTGACCCATTTTGCATACCACACCACGAGACATCAATGTCTTCATTACTGGAAAAGATAAACGGTTGAGTTTGATATCATTTAAAAGCTTACAAACAGTGGTCAAACTATTTTATTATATCTTTATAAAAAAAAATAAATAATTGTTAAACCTTTAATGTCAATTATCAAAAAATTTGTAAACTCAGATTTTTGTCATTCGCATATGTTGTAGTTTAGACCCTATTTCACATCTGAAGTTTTTCTACAGATGTGTTTAATAAAATATCAGAACTATCTAATCTCCCTGACAACATATTGGCTACAGTTGTGGTCCTCTGTAGCTCAGCTGGTAGAGCACGGCGCTTGTAACGCCAAGGTAGTGGGTTCGATCCCCGGGACCACCCATACAAAGAAAAAAAATTTATGCACGCATGACTAAGTTGCTTTGGATAAAAGTGTCTGCTAAATGGCATATTATTTATTATTATTATCTAGAGAGCCTCTACATGAACATCTCTCATGAAAAAGGCCTAGATGCACTGGGATATTACCTACAGGACCGTGACAGAGAAATGTCACCACCTAGTGAATTCATCTGTTAATTGGCTTCTCTAGTTCTCAAGCTCAACTACTTTGCCTTTGAAAAACGCTTTTTCCTTCAAGTTAGTGGAGTTGCTATGGGCTCCACCGTTGCCCCTAATTATGCTAATGTTTATGTGGGCTATTTTGAGCAAAAGTTTATCTGTGATGAGACCAGGAACCCTTACTTCTCCAAGACTCTCCAATGGTTTAGGTATATTGCTGATATTCTATGTGTGTGGATTGGCACTGAACAAGAACTCCATGAATTCACTTCCTTTTTTTAACAGTATGAAGACTGACCTGAAGTTCTCTATTGAATATGACCATAAGTGGGTCCATTTCTAATGGGGAACTTATCACCACTCTATATCAGAAAGAGACTGACTGAAACACTTTTCTCCTTGCAAGTAGCGCTCAACCTAGTGCCCAAGAGCCCGTTCTATAGGCTCAGACGTGTGTGTCATTCAACGTTTTCTGGACAGGGGTTACTCCACCCCGTGTTTGGAAGAGGCATACCAAATTGCGCTCCCTAAACCTCAACCAGGATACAAAAAAAAAAGTCTTAAAACTTCTAAGGAGTTGTTTGTTACTTGCATTACTACATTCACTGGCATACGCTCAACTCAGACCCGGCGCTCAGCCAGGAATTCAAGGACCCCCCCTTATTCGTCTACAAATGGGCCCCCAATTTTCACAGTAAAGTAGTCCATGCCAGCCTCAACACGGGTTCTAAACAAACCCTCCTTACTCCCCTGAGAGATGGAAACTACCCCTGTGGCAATTGAGCTCAGTGCAACACAACAAAAATCTCTGAGTTCCGACACACTAGGTCTGAAAAAAGATAGTGTTAAAGGCGTGATCACATTCAATACAAAACATGTGATTTACATCCTACGCTGTGTTTGTGACAACATGTACATGGGCAAGACATCCAGAACCTTGAAATAGAGAATAAGTGAACATAAGAGTTCTATAAGACACCAGGATGAAAATGACTCTGTTCCTTGTCACTTTGTCTAGTGCTCTCACAGTGTGTCTGTTGCTTGTCACTTTGTCCAGTGCTATCTCAGTGTGTCTGTTGCTTGTCACTTTGTCCAGTGCTCTCACAGTGTGTCTGTTGCTTGTCACTTTGTCCAGTGCTCTCACAGTGTGTCTGTTGCTTGTCACTTTGTCCAGTGCTCTCTCAGTGTGTCTGTTGCTTGTCACTTTGTCCAGTTCTCACAGTGTGTCTGTTGCTTGTCACTTTGTCCAGTGCTCTCTCAGTGTGTCTGTTGCTTGTCACTTTGTCCAGTGCTCTCACAGTGTGTCTGTTGCTTGTCACTTTGTCCAGTGCTCTCACAGTGTCTTCTCTACAATTCCAGGGCATTGAGAAGGTGGAAGTGTCACCAAGAGGAGGAGACGGCTGTAAACTCTGCCAGAGAGAACTCTTCTGGATTCATACTTTAGGCACCCTACAGCCACTCGGGAGACCACTGCGCCATTGTCTCCCGAGTGGCGCAGTGGTCTAAGGCTAGCTGTGCCACTAGAGATCCTGGTTCGAATCCAGGCTCTGTCGTAGCTGGCCGTGACCGGGAGACCCATGGGGCGGCGCATAATTGGCCCTGCGTCGTCCAGGGTAGGGGAGGGAATGGCCGGCAGGGATGTAGCTCAGTTGGTAGAGCATGGCGTTTGCAACGCCAGGGTTGTGGGGTCAATTCCCAAGGGTGGCTAGTATGAAAAATAAAATAATGTATGCACTCACTAACTGTAAGTCGCTCTGGATAAGAGCGTCTGCTAAATGACTAAAATGTAATGTAAAAAAATTAGGACTTAATTAAGATTTTTATATGAGGGTCATGTTTTAATTCCTATTGTAAACATCTTAGCTTCACACACACACACACACCCTCCCTGGTGTTAGGATGTCCTGTACTCATGACGGCCCTAGTGGCCCGATACTTCCTCGAAAGGTTACTTTAACCTTTATCTAGTTATTTTCTAGATTTCTAGATTTGACCAAAAGTATGTGGACACCTGCATCTCATTCCAAATTCATGGGCATTAATATGGAGTTGGTCCCCCCTTTGCTGCTATAACAGCCTCCATTCTTCTGGGAAGGCTTTCCACTAGATGTTGGAACATTGCTGTGGGGACTTGCTTCCATTCAGCCACAAGAGCATTAGTGAGGTCGGGCACTGATGTTTGGCGAATAGGCCTGGCTTGCCGTCGGCGTTCCAATTCATCCCAAAGGTGTTAGATGGGGTTGAGGTCAGGGCTCTGTGCAGGCCGGTCAAGTTCTTCCACACCGATCTCGACAAACCATTTTTGTATGGACCTCGCTTTGTGCACGGGGGCATTGTCATGCTGAAACAGGAAAGGGCCTTCCCCAAACTGTTGCCACAAAGTTGGCAGCACAGAATTGTCAAGAATGTCATTGTATGCTGTAGCGTTAAGATTTCCCTTCACTGGAACTAAGGGAGCCTGAACCATGAGAAACAGCCCCAGACCATTATTGCTCCTCCACCAAACTTTACAGTTGGCACTATGCATTGGGGCAGGTAGCGTTCTCCTGGCATCCGCCAAACCCAGATTTGTCCGTTGGACTGCCAGATGGTGAAGCGTGATTAATCACTCCAGAGAACGCGTTTCCACTGCTACACCACTCCAGCTGATGCTTGGCATTGCGCATGGTGATCTTAGGCTTGTGTGTGGCTGCTCGGCCATGGAAACCCATTTCATGAAGCTCCTGACTAACAGTTATTTTGCTGACGTTGCTTCCAGAGGCAGTTTGGAACTCGGTATCGAGTGTTACAACCGAGGACAGACAATTTTTACACGCTACGCGCTTCAGCACTCGGCAGTCCCGTTCTGTGAGTTTGTGTGGCCTACCACTTCACGGGTGAGCCGTTGTTGCTCCTAGATGTTTCCACTTCTCAATAACAGCACTTACAGTTGACCGGGGCAGCTCTAGCAGGGCAGAAATTTGACCAACTGACTTGTTGGAATGGTGGCATCCAATGACAGTGCCACGTTGAAAGTCACTGAGCTCTTCAGTAAGTCCATTCTACTGCCAATGTTTGTCTATGGAGATTGCATGGTTGTGTGGTCGATTTTATACACCTGTCAGCAGCAACAGGTGTGGCTGAAATAGCCGAATCCACTAATTTGAAGGAGTGTCCACATACTGATGTATATATACAGTGAGGGAAAAAAGTATTTGATCCCCTGCTGATTTTGTACGTTTGCCCACTGACAAAGAAATGATCAGTCTATAATTGTAATGGTAGGTTTATTTGAACAGTGAGAGACAGAATAACAACAAAAAAATCCAGAAAAACGCATGTCAAAAATGTTATAAATTGATTTGCATTTTAGGGAAATAAGTATTTGACCCCCTCTCAATCAGAAAGATTTCTGGCTCCCAGGTGTCTTTTATACAGGTAACGAGCTGAGATTAGGAGCACACTCTTAAAGGGAGTGCTCCTAATCTCAGCTTGTTACCTGTATAAAAGACACCTGTCCACAGAAGCAATCAATCAATCAGATTCCAAACTCTCCACCATGGCCAAGACCAAAGAGCTCTCCAAGGATGTCAGGGACAAGATTGTAGACCTACACAAGGCTGGAATGGGCTACAAGACCATCGCCAAGCAGCTTGGTGAGAAGGTGACAACAGTTGGTGCGATTATTCGCAAATGGAAGAAACACAAAATAACTGTCAATCTCCCTCGGCCTGGGGCTCCATGCAAGATCTCACCTCATGGAGTTGCAATGATCATGAGAACGGTGAGGAATCAGCCCAGAACTACACGGGAGGATCTTGTCAATGATCTCAAGGCAGCTGGGACCATAGTCACCAAGAAAACAATTGGTAACACACTACGCCGTGAAGGACTGAAATCCTGCAGCGCCCGCAAGGTCCCCCTGCTCAAGAAAGCACATATACAGGCCCGTCTGAAGTTTGCCAATGAATATCTGAATGATTCAGAGGAGAACTGGGTGAAAGTGTTGTGGTCAGATGAGACCAAAATCGAGCTCTTTGGCATCAATTCAATTTGCCGTGTTTGGAGGAGGAGGAATGCTGCCTATGACCCCAAGAACACCATCCACACCGTCAAACATGGAGGTGGAAACATTATGCTTTGGGGGTGTTTTTCTGCTAAGGGGACAGGACAACTTCACCGCATCAAAGGGACGATGGACGGTGCCATGTACCGTCAAATCTTGGGTGAGAACCTCCTTCTCTCAGCCAGGGCATTGAAAATGGGTCGTGGATGGGTATTCCAGCATGACAATGACCCAAAACACACGGCCAAAGCAACAAAGGAGTGGCTCAAGAAGAAGCACATTAAGGTCCTGGAGTGGCCTAGCCAGTCTCCAGACCTTAATCCCATAGAAAATCTGTGGAGGGAGCTGAAGGTTCGAGTTGCCAAACGTCAGCCTCGAAACCTTAATGACTTGGAGAAGATCTACAAAGAGGAGTGGGACAAAATCCCTCCTGAGATGTGTGCAAACCTGGTGGCCAACTACAAGAAACGTCCGACCTCTGTGATTGCCAACAAGGGTTTTGCCACCAAATACTAAGTCATGTTTTGCAGAGGGGTCAAATACTTATTTCCCTCATTAAAATGCAAATCTATTTATAACATAAAATTATAGACTGATCTTTGTCAGTGGGCAAACGTACAAAATCAGCAGGGGATCAAATACTTTTTTCCCTCACTGTACATATATTCTGGCTTGAAATATACTTATTTATTTTACCATACTAGAAGTTATTGATTACTTTACATGTATAAGAAATGTATATGTTGGGGGTCAATGAAGGGTGGATAGGAATTTGGTGTATGGAAAGTTCCTGAGTGAGACAAGGGGAAGTGCAGAAAGTTCATATTCTGTTCAAACATGTTATTGCTGAATATTAATATTTCTAAGGAAGGAGGCAAAGAGCAACAGCCTAGTTTAAGTTCCTGAAAAGGCAGGCCAGTTGCTGAGGAACTAGGACAATGAGGGATGTGGAACTCAACTCGAGATTAAGTCAACAGTTGAAGAGAGAAGATACTGCTGGGAGTGGGGCCATGGGGGTCCATCCCGAAGACCATCTGGCTACAGTCCTATCCCATACACACACTTCCACGCCGATGAGGGTCCTAGACTTCGGCATGGCCATGACAACACCAGTTAGAGGAACAGACTGAGTTTCTGCCTAACAACAGAGAAGGATTGTTTATCTTACACATACAAGGAGGTGACTGCCTAGTCGGTATAAATATGTGCTTTTGTGACTTGTATGTTGTGTTTGCAGCTGAAGCACCCTGTGGGTTGAATAAACTTGGTTTGAGCTTTTTCTAGTCGTCCGTTTGAGTTTTTACTCTGTTTGTTCAGAACCTAACAATATATACATGCACACACACTCCGGACTCTGACATTGCTCGTCCTAATATTTCTTAATTACATTACTTTACTTTTTACATGTGTGTATTGTTGTGTATTGTTAGATATTACTGCAGTGTTGGAACTAGGAACACAAGCATTTCGCTACACCCGCAATAACATCTGCTAAATATGTGTATGCGACCAATAAAATGTGATTTGATATTTGAATATGAAAGAAATCAGAGATTACAAGTTTTTAGATAATTGACGTTAAAGGTAAAACATATATATGTTTTTAAGAAATTATAAAAGAGTTTGACAACCCTGTTAGGAAGCTTTTAAATTATTTAAATCTCAACCATTTATCTTTTCCAATGATGAAGACATGGATGTCTCATTGTATGGTGGGGGATACAAAATGGGTCAATTTGAGCATCTTTATCTCTTGAATGTTTTGGCATTCAGGTCCAAAAAGTCACTTTCTGAGCACTTCTATAATGGACAAATATGAATGGAAGGTTTATTATTATTATTATATATATTTTTTAGGGGGAAGATCAGCTTTAATATTGCAGACAGATTGTAGCGTCCATCAATGTAATTGTCTGCATCACTTCCAATCCCCCATATATATTTTTTTACAAATAAATAAATAAATAAATAAATAAATAAATATATATATATATATACACACACAGTACCAGTCAAAAGTTTGGACACACCTACTCATTCAAGGGTTTTACTTTATTTTTTACTATTTTCTACATTGTAGAATAAAAGTAAAGACATCAAAACTATGAAATAACACAAAAAAGTGTTAAACAAAGCCAAATATATTTGAGATTCTTCAAAGTAGCCACCCTTTGTCTTGATAACAGCTTTGCACACTTTTGGCATTCTCTCAAACCAGCTTCACCTGTGAATGCTTTTCCAATAGTCTTGAAGGAGTTCCCACATATGCTGAGCACTTGTTGGCTGCTTTTCCTTCACTCTGTGGTCCAACTCATCCCAAACCATCTCAATTGGGTTGAGGTCGGATGATTGTGGAGGCCAGGTCATCTGATGCAGGACTCCTTCTTAGTCAAATAGCCATTACACAGCCTGGAGGTGTGTTGGGTCATTGTCCTGTTGAAAAACAAATGATAGTCCCACTAAGCGCAAACCAGATGGGATGCTGTATCGCTGCAGAATGCTGTGGTAGCCATGCCTTGAATTCTAAATAAATCACAGACAATGTCACCAGCAAAGCACCCCCACACATCACAACTCCTCCTCCATGCTTCATGGTGGGAACCACACATGCGAAGATCATCCGTTCACCTACTCTGCATCTCACAAAGACGCGGCGGTTGGAACCAAAAATCAAACCAAAGGACAGATTTCCACCAGTCTAATGTCCATTGCTCGTGTTTCTTGGCCCAAGCAAATCTCCTCTTCTTATTGGTGTCCTTTAGTAGTGGTTTCTTTGCAGCAATTCAACCATGAGGCCTGATTCACGCAGTCTCCTCTGAACAGGTGATGTTGAGATGTGTCTGTTACTTGAACTCTGTGAAGCATTTATTTGGGCTGCTATTACTGAGGCTGGTAACTCTAATGAACTTATCCTCTGCAGCAGAGGTAACTCTGGGTCTTCCTTTCCTGTGGCGGTCCTCATGAGAGCCAGTTTTATCATAGCGCTTTATGGTTTTTGCGACTGCACTTGAAGAAACTTTCAAAGTTCTTGAAATTGTCCAGTTTGACTGACCTTCATGTCTTAAAGTAATGATGGAATGTCATTTCTCTTTGCTTATTTGAGTGTTCTTGCCATAATATGGACTTGGTCTTTTACCAAATAGGGCTATCTTCTGTATACCACCACTACCTTTTCACAACACAACTGATTGGCTCAAACGCATTAAGGAAAGAAATTCCACAAATTAACGTTTAACAAGGCACAACTGTTAATTGAAATGAATTCCAGGTGACTACCTCATGAAGCTGGTTGAGAGAATGCCAAGAGTGTGCAAAGCTGTCATCAAGGCAAAGGGTGGCTACTTTGAAGGCTACTTCAAATATAAAAAATATTTTGATTTGTTCAACACTTTTTTGGTTACTACATGATTCCATATGATTTATTTAATAGTTTTGATGTCTTCACTGTTATTCTACAATGTAGAAAATAGTACAAATAAAGGAAACCCTGGAATGAGTAGGTGTGTCCAAACTTTGACTGGTACTGTATGTATGTACAGTTGAAGTCGGAAGTTTACATACACCTTAGCCAAATACATTTAAACTCAGTTTTTCACAATTCCTGACATTTAATCCTAGTAACAATTCCCTGTCTTGGGTCAGTTAGCATCACCACTTTATTTTAAGAATGTGAAATGTCAGAATAATAGTAGAGAGAATGATTTATTTCAGCTTTTATTTCTTTCATCACATTCACAGTGGGTCAGAAGTTTACATACACTCAATTAGTATTTGGTAGCATTGCCTTTAAATTGTTTAACTTGGGTCAAACGTTTCAGGTAGCCTTCCACAATAAGTTGGGTGAATTTTGGCCCACTCCTCCTGACAGAGCTGGTGTAACTGAGTCTGGTTTGTAGGCCTCCTTGCTCGCACACGCTTTTCAGTTCTACCCACAAATGTTCTATAGGATTTATATAGGACTGCCACCCCCGTGCGGCAGCATCATGCTGTGGGGGTGCTTTGCTGCAGGAGGGACTGGTGCACTTCACAAAATAGATGGCATCATGAGGAAGGAAATTATGTTGATATATTGCAGCAACATCTCAAGACATCAGTCAGGAAGTTAAAGCTTGGTCGCAAATGGGTCTTCCAAATGGACAATGATCCTAAGCATACTTCCAAAGTTGTGGCAAAATAGCTTAAGGACAACAAAGTCAAGGTATTGGAGTGGCCATCACAAAGCCCTGACCTCAGTCCTATAGCAAATTTGTGGGCAGAACTGAAAAAATGTGTCCGAGCAAGGAGGCCTACAAACCTGACTCAGTTACACCAGCTCTGTCAGGAGGAATGGGACAAAATTCACCCAACTTATTGTGGGAAGCTTGTGGAATGCTACCCGAAACATTTGACCCAAGTTACACAATTTAAAGGCAATGCTACCAAATACTAATTGAGTGTATGTAAACTTCTGACCCATTGGGAATGTGATGAAAGAAATAAAAGCTGAAATAAATCATTCTCTCTACTATTATTCTGACATTTCACATTCTTAAAATAAAGTGATGATCCTAACTGACCTAAGACAGGGAAGTTTTACTAGGATTAAATGTCAGGAATTGTGAAAAACTGAGTTTAAATGTATTTGGCTAAGGTGTATGTAAACTTCCGACTTCAACTGTATACATATAAATACATACATATAAATACGTTTACAGTCGTGGTCAAAAGTTTTGAGAATGACACAGGTATTGGTCTTCAAAGTTTCCTGCGTCAGTGTTTTTTAAGATATTTTTGTCAGATGTTACTATGGTAACATGCACTCACACCTGCCTGCTGCCATTCCTGAGCAAGCTCTGCACTGGTGGTGCCCTGATCCCGCAGCTGAATCAACTTTAGGAGTTACGGTCCTGGCGCTTGCTGGACTTTCTTGGGCGCCCTGAAGCCTTCTTCACAACAATTGAACCTCTCTCCTTGAAGTTGTTAATGATCCGATAAATGGTTGATTTAGGTGCAATCTTACTAGCAGCAATATCCTTGCCTGTGAAGCCCTTTTTGTGCAAAGCAATGATGACGGCACGTGTTTCCTTGCAGGTAACCATGGTTAACAGAGGAAGAACAATGATTTCAAGCACCACCCTCCGTTTAAAGCTTCCAGTCTGTTATTCTAACTCAATCAGCATGACAGAGTGATGTCCAGCCTTGTCCTTGTCAACACTCTCACCTGTGTTTATGAGAGAATCACTGACATGATGTCAGCTGGTCCTTTTGTGGCAGGGCTGAAATGCAGTGGAAATGTTTTTTGGGGGATTAAGTTCATTTTCATGGCAAAGAGGGACTTTGCAATTAATCTGATCACTCTTCATAACATTCTGGAGTATATGCAAATTGCCATCATAAAAACTGAGGCAGCAGACTTTGTGAAAATTAATATTTGTGTCATTCTCAAAACCTTTGACCAAGACTGTACATACATATCTTTAAAAAAAAAATAAAAAAAAATTTCTTTATTACTTTCTAACCCTACCACCCATCCCCTAATTGGAGTAAACTAGTGAACAACAACGCTTAGGCCTCTACTTCCAGCTTATACATACTATATACATTTTATGGACACAGTATGTTTTACATTAGCTATTTTGTTGTTATTAGTCCCAACCTTCAGCTCCATTCAACCCCTCCCATCTATCTCTTAACACCATCTATATTGGATTTCTATTTGCCATATATTTTTCAACTGTGCTGTGATGTTTCACAAAAGTTCTGAACCTTTCTATTTTCATTGTTTCTACAGATTGTAAATTGAAAATAAACATTTTTGCTAAAAGTATTATTATATTATTGGTCGATTGACTATGACTTTTCAGATCACCCAGTAGTGCTATCTGCAGGGTTAGCTCCAGGTAAATATTGCAATTATTTAGTCATTCCTGGACCTGTGACCAAAAACAAGCTACCTATGGACAGTACCAAAACAAATGATCTAATGATTCAGTCTCTTCGCAGCTGGGAAAGTTATATCCCTTATATTAATAACATTCTATTGGTTGCAAGAATTTTGTATAATAATTTAAATTGAACAATTCTACGTTTTGAATCCGGCGTCGTTTTGCATATCAGTTCATAAACCCTGTGCCATGGAATATGTACGTCAAAAATCTATATTTTGCAATCTATATGGGACGGCTGTCAATTTTTTGTTCCTTAAATTAAACTGGAATACTTTTTTATTTATCACAATTTTCTTGAACCAATTATGGTATTTAATGCAGGGCCAACAGACAAGTCCCTTACTTTCTCCTCCTTCCACTTCCCTCTATATTTTTTAAAGAAATTATAAAATAGTTTTACAACCTTGTTTGGAAGCTTTTCAATTATATCAATCTCAACCATTTATCTTTTCCAATGATGAAGACATGGATTGTATGGTGGGGGACGCAAAATGGGCCAACTTTGAGCACCTTTATCTCCTGAATGTTTTGGCATTCAGGTCCAAAAAGTCACTTTCTGAGCACTTTTACAATGGGCAAATATGTATGGAAGGTTTTCTTCAAATCAAAGGGGGTGCTGTCAAAAAGTGATTGAATTCAAATGGACCCAACATAATTTTGCTGACATAGCTGCTGTAGCTCTAGAGGAGCTGTCTGTCTAGCTCATCCGTCTGTCTGTCTGTTTTCACCTTGAGCTCCATGTCCTGCCTCCTGAACTCCTCATCCTCATCAGAGTCACAGTCTGGGAACTGGTAGATTTTTAACCTGTACTTATCTATCTCACTTAGGATCTGTATTGGGGAGGGAGAGGGGGGAGGGAGGGGGAGAGTGAGGTAGAAAGACAAAAAGGGAGGGAGAATGCAAGGGAGAGGGGAGCGGGATAGGGGGAAGGGGGGGAGAGATAGAGGGAGAGAGAGGGTGGGGAGAGAGGGGAGATAGAAGGCAAGAAAGGGGGAGGGAGAGTGGAAGCGAGAGAGAGGGGGAGAGGGGGGAGACAGAGGGGAATAGGAAGAGGGAGGGGGTTAAGCTGCAGACACGTAAACCTCTGGCCTCTATTTTGGTGTGGAAATTTGTAATAAAAGGTAAAATATCTGCACAGTGAAATAGACAACTGGTGGGAAAGGTGATAGTTTTCCAGACCCTAGTTAGCGTGAGAGACATCATGTCACTCTCTCTTATTCACCCTGATCTTCTTCTTCTTGACCTCATCATAAGTGAGACCATCAGATTTGGCCACAACAGGGATGATGTTGACCTTGTCCTGCAGAGCCCTCATACACTCTACATCCAACGGCCGCAGACTGACGACACACACAGACACACAGTGTGTAACGTTTGTATAGGTTGAGTGTGTGTAGTATGAGTGTGTGTGTGTGTATGTAGTCTGGTACCCATGTCCGAAGGGAGAGATGAAGTAGAGGCAGCAGTGGACTCTGTTATCCTGGATGTTCTTTCTGTCCAGACCGATTTCATCCCTGCGGTACTGCTCAAACTGACAGTCAATGTAGTCTGACACACACTTATAGCTACAGCAGGACACACACACAAACACACGGGACAGAAGTGTGAGTAAGTACAGCTCCCTTGACACACACAATGGCTCCGGGGAGGACTTTTTCATGAGCACACCATGTCATTTTGAGACTAGGCTAAGCTTATTACTATTTAGCGTCTTTATGACTCTACATGTACATGTGAATACCTATATACCTGTCTGTACTGTTGATGGTATCTCCATAGCCTTGTGTGTCCACTATGTTGAGTTTGAGTTTCACTCCCTTTTCTTCGATGCACACTGTGTTCTTAGTGATGCCCACAGTCTGAGCCAGTCTCTCTGGACAACACACAAGATGCGCACACACACACACACACACACACGCACGCATACACAGAAGATCAGAGGTTGTATAAAAGCAATCTTGTAGATCAGGGTTGGGTAGGTACAGTAGAGACAAACCATTCCACAGGATACAACTTGATGTTACAGAAGAACAATAGTAACAGTAATGGACCCATTGAGAAATCACACTCTCTCACCCTCTGCATTCAGCACCTTCCTGTCCTTGTAGAGGTCTGTGAGGAACAGACTGTTGACCAGTGTAGATTTACCCAGACCAGACTCTCCTAGAGAAACAGAGGGAGGGAGGGAGAGAATGATGAAGAGAATGAGGGCGGTAGAGAGAGAGCGAGAGACCCTGCTTAGCCTCAAACCCTGATCATATCCTTGCTAAATACTTCTAACTTAGCAGTGGAAACATTGTCATGATTGAATAAACTACGACTCCCTGACAGCCCTTCCCTTGTCCTCACCAACCACCATCAGAGTGAACTCAAATCCCTTCTTCACTGACTTCCTGTGTACCTGGTTGGGTAGAGTAGCAAAGCCCACATACTCCCTGTCCTGGTCCTGCAGGGGTTAACCACATGCCAATAAGCCAATAAAGCCAAGACAAAACACAGATTATACTGTAACTCACTACTCATATAAAAGAGAATATACTGTACTCCCTGCATCCATAAAATATAATATCTGCAGCTCAATCAACAGAGACATTGTAAATAGTTATGATGACATCATGAGAAAGCCCTGAAAGCTGCCTGTTTTCACACTGTATATCACGTTTCACCTTTGACTCTTGAAATCTGACATGCTCTAGGTTTTTGGATTTTCACCTGCAAAATCTAACTCCATCAACAACTCAGCACAGTAGCCAATGTGGGCTCTTAATACTAGGGCTCTCTCCCTGTGCATAAAGCCTAATTGTGAACTTACGCAAGTACGCAACGCAAGAACACAATTAACTACACAAAATGGCTGTTCTGCGTACTTGCATAGCAAATATATGCAGATATGTGCAGCCCCGCAACTTGTAGCTCGACGCAACTACACAGGGCTGCCATTTTGCGAAGCAAATTGGGTCTTTGTGTGTACTTGCACAAGGAATCAATTAGGCTTTAGGCCGTAGCTACATTACCTCAGTGGTGTAGGGGTCTAGGCAGCCCCAGGGGCTCTTGGGTCGTGGGGGGCGGTCAGAGGTCCAGCTGGAGGGTGTGGCCAGGTAGCGGTGTTCCGGGAGAGGGGAGGAGTAACAGAAGTTTCTGGACATCGACCCTGTGCTCTGGTGGGAGGGACAGCTGTAACTGTCCTGGGGAAACTCCCTGAGGAAACTCTCCAGACTCAAGTTCCCTGTTTCATCTATAGTCAGGCTGGAGAACTAGACAGAACAGAGGACAGAGAGGAGAGAGGGGGAGGAGGGAGAGGAGGACGAGAGTGAGAGGAGAGGGAGGGGAGAAGAGGAAGGAGGAGAAGTAGAGAGGGGGAGAGGAGGAGAGGGAGCGAAGGAGGGGGATAGATTCCTGATTAAAAAAGGTGTGGTTTGTGCTACTGTATGTCTCAGTGTAGGGTTTACAATAGCTTACATATGGAGAAAATACAAATCTGATGACACTTCATCATCATGGGCATGGCATAGTGATAGCACCAATTACTTTTCATATCTTTTCGATACGGTTTTAACTGCTTTCTGTGCATCCTACATACCTCTCCATCTGAAGGCAGTGCAGGAATGGTGGCAGAGGGGAGAGAGACATTCAGGATCACAAAGAGAGGGGGGACCAGGATGGTGTCAGTACAATTTCAACACCAGAGGGCAGAATCTTCCTCTTATATTATAGGCTAGTCTATACCTGTTGAACATAACATCAAAAGGCCTAAATTGCAGCCAATCAATGTGTGAGTATCTGACAGACAGCAATAAGCTATATTTCTTTTGATTATGCAGGGCTCTACGTGACAACTATTTGAGGTATTAAAGCGGCAATCCGCAGTTGAAACAATAAAAGTATTCTCAGGGCCACTGTTTCTGTAAAAGGTTGAGGGATGCGGCTAGAGAAATGTAACCACACTCAAATTCATAGACAGATGGATGCATCCATGATATCAAAATTATAGTTTGAACCATGTTTTGAGGCTATACAGTGTCTGTTTACAAACCTTGGAAAAACAAGCTGATATTTTGGCTTCTGAAGGGGTACGACAGTTAAACTAAGCTCATGGGGCATTTAAAAGTGATATTCTTCAATAATCAATGGGTTTATATAATTCATTTGAAGTCCAAAAAGTGATGTAGTAACTGCAGCTAGTCCCTTTAATGATATGAATTGCCAGCAATTACAAATTACAGGGTTTAGGAGGACCAGAAGAAATTGATTTTTAAGATTGAGATTGGGCCTATGAATCCTACTACTTTTGAAGCACTCCCTTTTCCTTTATTTCTGTGACGCCACATATTTGCATAACACTGTGGCTGCGGGACAGTAAAGAAATCATTCCAACAATTATTACATGGGTGATTTCTTTTCTAGGGGCACCAAATACAAATTCCAGGTAGCACAGTAAAATATTTAGGAGCATATGCCCCCAAAATGGTAGCACTGTAGAGCCTTGTTATGATTAATCAGTGCATTCAAACTGCACTCTTGATACCACCGGCTAACAACTACTAGCAACTAAGTTAGACAAACTTTTGTCTAACTTAGTTGGCACAAACATTGGCACTTTGAAGTCAACCCAGGTTGGGCTGGCCTTGGTGGGCTAGCTCAAATTGTGTTTCCACTGCCTCCAGAAACAGAGATCCTATTAAATTGCTAGAGGAGCTATGCCATAAACCCTCAAAGTTCCAGAATGGGGTGAAAATGGCAGACATATTAGTCAGCGAGAAATCCAAACCAGTCTAATTGGAATGAATGGCAGTAGAGGCATAATTCTGATTTTACTTACGCAGGGAAAATAAAATAAAAGGCACGTGATATACACTATATATACAAAAGTAGTTGGACACTCCTTCAAATGAGTGGATTCGTCCATTTCAGCCACACCTGTTGCTGACAGGTGTACACAACCGCACACACAGCCATGCAATCGCCATAGACAAACATTGGCAGTAGAATGCCCCGTACTGAAGAGCTCAGTGACTTTCAACGTGGCACTGTCATAGGATACCACCTTTCCAACAAGTCAGTTGGTCAAATTTCTGCCCTGCTAGAGCTGCCCCGGTCAACTGTAAGTGCTGTGAAGTGGAAACGTCTAGGAGCATCAACGGCTCAGCCGCAAAGTGGTAGGCCACTCAAGCTCACAGAACGGGACTGCCGAGTGCTGAAGCGCGTAAAAATAGTCTGTCCTCTGTTGCAACACTCACTACCGAGTTCCAAACTGCCTCTGGAAGCAACGTCAGCACAATAACTACTCGTCGGGAGCTTCATGAAATGGGTTTCCATGGCCGAGCAGCCGTACACAAACATAAGATCACCAGACGCAATGCCAAGCGTCGGCTGGAGTGGTGTAAAGCTCACTGCCATCGGACTCTGCAGCAGTGGAAACGCATTCTCTGGAGTGATGAATCACGCTTCACCATCTGGCAGTCCGACGGACAAATCTGGGTTTGGCAGATGCCAGGAGAACACTACCTGCTCCAATGCATAGTGCCATCTGTAAAGTTTGGTGGAGGAGGAATAATGGTCTGGGGCTGTTTTTTATGGTTCGGCCTAGGCCCCTTAGTTCCAGTGAAGCGAAATCTTAATGCTACAGCATACAATTACATTCTAGACGATTCTCTGTTTCCAACTTTGTAGCAACAGTTTGGGGAAGGCCCTTTCCTGTTTCAGCATGACAATGCCCCCACGCACAAAGCAAGGTCCAGAGCCCTGACCTCAACCCCGTCAAACATCTTTGGGATGAATTGGAACACCGACTGCGAGCCAGGCCTAATCGCCCAACATCAGTGCCCGACTTCACTAATGCTTGTGGCTGAATGGTAGCAAGTACCCGCAGCAATGTTCCAACATCTAGTGGAAAGCCTTCCCAGAAGAGTGGCGGCTGTTATAGAAGCAAAGGGGGGACCAACTCCATATTAATTTTGGAATGAGACGTTCGAGGAGCAAGTGTCCACATACCTTTGGTCATATAGTGTATCAGAAATGTTGTAATAGAATTATTGTCAACCTAATATAATGTAATATGTTGTATACCAATTTTCTGTATAAATACCCTCTAAAATATACAGTACCAGTCAAAAGTTTGGACACACCTACTCATTCCAGGGTTTTTCTTTATTTTTACTATTTTCTACATTGTAGAATAATAGTGAAGACATCAAAACTATTAAATAACACATATGGAATCATGTAGTAACCAAAAAAGTTAATTTGTGGAATTTCTTTCCTTCTTAATGCGTTTGAGCCAATCAGTTGTGTTGTGACAAGGTGGGGGGGTAAAATACAAAATCCATATTATGGCAAGAACAGCTCAAATAAGTCCATCATTACTTTAAGACATGAAGGTCAGTCAATACAGAACATTTCAAGAACTTGGAAAGTTTCTTCAACTGCAGTCGCAAAAACCATCAAGCGCTATGATGAAACTGGCTCTCATGAGGACCGCGACAGGAACGGAAGACCCAGAGTTAACTCTGCTGCAGAGGATAAGTTCATTAGAGTTACCAGCCTCAGAAATTGCAGCCCAAATAAATGCTTCACAGAGTTCAAGTAACAGACACATCTCAACATCAACTGTTATAATAATAATAATAATAATAATAATAATAATAATATGCCATTTAGCAGACGCTTTTATCCAAAGCGACTTACAGTCATGCGTGCATACATTTTTGTGTATGGGTGGTCCCGGGGATCGAACCCACTACCTTGGCGTTACAAGCGCCGTGCTCTACCAGCTGAGCTACAGAGGACCACGTTCAGAGGGGACTGTGTGAATCAGTCCTTCATGGTCAAATTGCTGCAAAGAAACCACTACTAAAGGACACCAATAAGAAGAAGAGACCTGCTTGGGCCAAGAAACATGAGCAATGGACATTAGACCGGTGGAAATGTGTCCTTTGGTCTGGAGTCCAAATTTGAGATTTTTGGTTCCAACTGCCGTGTCTTTGTGAGACGCGGTGTGGGTGAACGGATTATCTCCACATGTGTATTTCCCACTGTAAAGCATGGAGGAGGAGGTGTTATGGTGTGGGGGTCCTTTGCTGGTGACACTTTCTGTGATTTATTTAGAATTCAAGGCACACTTAACCAGCATGGCTACCACAGCATTCTACAGCGATACACCATCCCATCTGGTATGTGCTTAGTGGGACTATTGTAGTGTATTAAGATTATGACTATTCTAGAGGAACAAAGAGGGGATGTTTATCTTAGTTCAAAAGTAGCCATTTGTAGGGTGACGCCCCAGGGGAGACAGGTGATTGGACAGCAGAGGGAGCAACCCATATTTCTGCATTGTTTATAAGTATATGCTGGACGAAGAAGAGGGAAGAGCGACCATTGCAATCTGGGACGTCGCTCTCCGGGTGGGCATGACACCTGTAAAACTTATGCTGAAAGCTTGTGATATGAATAAACTTATGATCAAGGTTCAGTATGAGCGGACTCCTTTGTTTATCAGCAATAATTGCCAGCATTTACTCGATACGACACTATTATTTGTTTTTCAACAGGACAATGATCCAACACACCTCCAGGCTGTGTAAGGGCTATTTTACCAAGAAGGAGAGTGATGGAGTGCTGCATCAGATGACCTGGCCTCTATAATCCCCCGACCTCAACCCAATTGAGATGGTTTGGGATGAGTCGGACCGCAGAGTGAAGGAAACGCAGCCAACAAGTCCTCAGCATATGTGGAAACTCCTTCAAGACTGTTGGAAAAGCATTCCAGGTGAAGCTGGTTGAGAGAATGCCAAGAGTGTCCAAAGCTGTCGTCAAGGCAAAGGGTAGCTATTTGAAGATTCTCAAATATAAAATACACTTTGATTTGTTTAACGCTTTTTGGTTTACTACATGATTCCATATGGGTTATTTCATAGTTTTGATGTCTCCACTATTACTCTACAATGTAAAAAATAGTAAAAATAAAGAAAAACCCTTGAATGAGTAGGTGTGTCCAAACTTTTGACTGGTAGTGCATGTAAACATTTAAATTTGAGTTTTCTTGGAAAGCTGTGAGTGCTGTTATATGATACAATGTCAGTACTTGTTGCAATTATAACTTGTCTTCGTCCTATCCTCAACTGATTTCAGCCAGTTTATGGCTGTAGATTGACTGCATTGTTTGAATAGAATGTTGGCATATTGGCAGTTAATTTGAAAAATGAATATAATCACTCCTCTAAAACTGTCTGGCTAGCTAGCTAACAAACATACAGTGCAGATAAATTATTCTAAATCATTATTTTACACAATATCTTATCACAGCACAGGCAAACCATGGTTGACCAACTCCCTGACCAAAATGGCTGACCTTTATCCTATCATAAGAAGGTTCATGTCCATTCTAGTATTCTAATTAAGCAATAAGGCCAGAGGAGGTGTGGTATATGGCCAATATACTACGGCTAAGGGCTGTTCTTAACATGGAGTGCCTGGGCACAGCCCTTAGCCATGGTATATTGGCCATATATCACAAATCCCTGAGGTGCCAGATTGCTTTTATAAACTGGTTGCCAGAGTAATTTGAGCATTACAAATAAAATGTTTTGTCATACAGTTTATAATTCCTAATTATATGTCCAGAAATTAGAAAT